CAGCAGCACCAGCACCAGCAGCACCAGCACCAGCAGCACCAGCACCACCAGCAGCACCACCAGCACCAGCACCAGCACCAGCACCAGCACCAGCACCAGCACCAGCACCAGCGCCAGCACCAGCACCAGCACCAGCACCACCACCAGCACCACCACCACCACCACCACCACCATCACCACCACCACCACCACCACCATTACCCTAGGCTACAAAGTGCTTCATGGCAGCCCCATCCTGGCTAGAAAGCCAGAGGCGATGGCAAGGCAAAACCACAGCCTTGCTGTAGACAAAGCCTTTCCAGCCGAGACGGCCAAAGGTGTTTTTGAAAGTCCAAAACAACTTTGCAGCCCAGGCATAGACACACGGGCGATGTTGCAAGGCAGAATGACAGCTTTGCAGCCCAACACTTATATAGAAAAAGGTTACAAAGTGCATGTCCTGCAGTCCGGCCAGCCGAGATGGCCAGAGGCGATTTCGAACGGCAAAATAACAACTGTGCGTCCGTCCTGAGGCATAGAAAAAGACTTTCCAAAACCATTTCCTGCAACCCGTCGAGGCAGCCAGAGGCGATTCTGAAATGCAAAATCACAGCCTTGCAGCCCAAGGCACACAGAAAATAATTTCAATATATAATAACTTTGGAGTTGCTGGAGGAGCGTTTGAGCCCACACTTTCGGAACTTCACGCTCCTTTGGCTTTGACACAGATTGATTTGTATGTGTCGGACATACATGGAGATAGCTTCCAGCAGTGGTCATTGTGAATCGAACATTTACGAGAGATGCCCACAAGCTTTGGATGATTTGCCGTTCGCAAGATGTGAACTCATTGGCAGGGGCACAGGGGGGCTGAGACTGGGCGACAGCTTTTGTGCCTTTCTGCAGGCGAATGTAAACATTTCAATGGCTTTACCATGGATTGTGTACAACCTTAAGACAGGGCAAGAGGAACCAGATCAAATAGGCATCAGAAACCTTTCCATCTCACGGTATTTTGGGGCTTGTTGTCTAGCATTCACTTTTTCTTCTTTCAACACTAGCAATTTTCGGCGCTGGCTGGGTGTGGCGAAAAGAAAATTCATTCCAGACAAATATTCGTTAGGGCGCGGGTGTAGCTTTTGTTGAGGCATCCCAGCTCTTGCAGGAGGTGAAGCCTTCTCACGACATCGAGCAGGGCACTTCTGCTTGGACAACGCCACCAGCCATGCGGCTTTGCAAACTGCTTCGTGGACCAAGAATACCGCAGTGTATCCATTGGCTGTTTTGCTGGAAGCTACAGCTCGTGCAACCGCTATTCCTCTTTTTGGCTCGAATTATCGCAAGGCTTTGCAAGTTGGTCTTGAACAAACACGACGCCGTGGAGTTGACAGAAAGGTGCAACCAAGAACAGATCTTGGGTGGTGGGGGCAGCAAGCGTTGCTGAAGGAAAGTCGCCTGCGTGCAGGCGATCTTCCCCAGAGGGGCCAGCTGCCTTGTGGTTGACAGATGAGATTTGGTCAGGCGATCGCTTGGGGGATTCCGGCTGTTCGTGATTGGAAGCCAGATGACAACCACGGGCGCGTTCGAGCCCAGGGCTGAGAAAAGGAGACATGCAAACCAGGGGTCAGAAAAGGTAGCAGCGAAGAGAGAACGATGTTCTTTGGCAAGATTGTCGTAGGTCGTAAGGTTAATTCTTTGGCGAGACAGCTGGCATGTTTCCGAAGGTTCAGCGCGCCCATGCTCGCTCCCCACTCTCCGTCCTTGCTCGTCCCGGTTCGGTTCGGTTCGGGTCTCTGTTCAAGGGGGTGCGTGGGCCGTGGCCGGGGTGCCAGACTGTGGAGGTTTTGACATGATGCGGGGGTATGATGGCTGGTGCTGATGCCTTGTTTTCCTCAGGCAGCTGCAACGCAGCAAGGCTGGTTTGAGGGCCCTGCAGCTTTCATTTCCATCCTTCATTTGCCTCGTTGCATCGTCCACCCCATCTGCCTTTAAGGGGTCCAATATGCGATTGTACCTGTAGGTACCTGCGCTTCTTGTGCGTATCGCGACCAATCAAATAGCCAAAGCCGCGCTTTCCCCACCAAACCCTTGTCTAGATAACGCGCGCGCAAAGCCCAATTATACACTTGAGTTTAGCTGGTTGAAGGACCTAGCCATGGACCTGTCCAGGAGCTCGATCCTGTCTTCGGTACAGACCCCCGCCTGGGATCACCCAAGGGATGCCCCAGTCGGGATGACCGGAAGCTTATAACTTACAACCCCTTGCATTTATATACATGAGCTAGCTTATACAGCTGGTAGCCGGGCGCTACATAATATGGGTTTAGAAGTCCATACTTTTTTTCCTATACGTCAGGGACATTCTATTTTCATGTTTTTCTTGTAACCAACCTGAGTCACAGGATTCCAAATTATTAAAGGACGTTCAATTAGAATGTTGACGCAGGAAAAAATAAGAGACATAGAAGGAAAAATCATTGGGATTTCCCAGAAGGATGGAATGGTTCACCCCAGGATTTCATAACAGTTTCATTGCTTCTCCTGGAACAATAGAGTAAGGTCGAACCAAGGAATATATTATGTTGGTTGGTCTAGCATATACAGAAGAATACACAAACATCTTTTTAATCGAGGCTGCCCAAGCTTAACTATGTGGTCCTGTTTGAAACAATCACCCTGCTGGAAACAGATTGACTCGCTTTGGGCGCTTTGGACCTTAGCTCTTATGTTCACACATAAACATAAAGACATATACACACACACACACGCATAGACTTCAACATGGCCGATTCAGAGGAATCGTAAGAAGCACTCGACCTTTAGCTCGTGTCCCGTCTAGACGATGACTTCGCGGAAAAAGAAGGCCCGACAGCCTACCCAGGAATTCTGTGATCGGAAAACATGGTTTGCCGGGACAACAACAGGACTGACCTTTGTGACAGCTGCAGTCTAGGTCACTTTGAGGGAGGGCAGGGCTTAAAAGGGCCAGGTTCACGTAACGCCGAGCCGATGAATCTTCCTAAGGATACCCCTCAACCAGGAATTTAATATGCCAAGATGTTGTTTTGCATGAGCTTCTTCAACCCAGGATTCCATAAAACACGTTGACCCAGGATTCCATAAATGCTCAAACCTCTTCATTTTTTGGCTGCCAACGTTGGCGCGCAAAAAAAATAAGAACATGACCTCAGCTCGAAAGGATTTTATAAAGTAAAATCCTGCGTCAAACCTTTAGCGCACTTCCAAACCACTATTACATATGAGCAGGCTAGAGCGGGTGCAGCTTAAACCTTTTGAGCCGACTGACGAGATCATAAAGTGATTTCCCGAAATTGCTACAGGATCGACATGGACCCATCATGCAAATCCGACTGGTTCCCTTCAGTTTTTCAACAAGTTTTTTCTTTGCCTTGGGCTGCAAGGCTGTGATTTGCCTGTCGAACTCGCCCCTAGCTGTCCCGGATAGTTGGGCTGGAAGAAGTACTCTTTGAAAGGCTGATTCAGTGCGTTGGGCCGCGAAGCCGAGATTTTGTTTTTTCAATCGTCTCTGACGTCTCTGGTAATTTTCTCGGCTGGTCGGGCTGCAAGAAGTGTTTTATGAACGGCACTTCTTTGCCTTGGGCTGCACAGGTGTGACTTTGCTTTTCGGGCTGCAAGAAAAACTGTGCTCTCAAAATTCACCTCTGGCTGTCTCGGCTGGTGCGTGTGCAGGAGAGTTTACAAATTTAGTGCATTGGGCTGCAAAGCGGTGTTGCAAGAACATTGGTTACTTTTTTCGATGCCTTGGGCTGCAAAGCGGTGATTTTGTTTTTCAGACTGCAGGAAATTTTTGTGATTTTGTTAAAAAGGTTTTCGTGTTGGGTGGTCGGGCTGCAAGTACTGTGTCTATGCCTTCTGCTGCGAAGCTGTGATTTTGCCTTTTCGATCGTTTTTGGCCGTCTCGGCTGGTTGGGCAAAAACGGTGTTTCTACGCCTTGGGCTGCAAAACTGTGAAAGTCACACTTCATTCTGCACGAAATGTTTTTGGTTGTTTCTTGGGCTTATGTCTCTTGTTGTCGCTGGTGGGCTGCACGTCTTCCTGCAGTCTTCGGTTCGGTTGCGGTTCGGGTGCTGCTTGAGTTTTCCTGGTTCGGGATCGGTCCGTTTTGGCACGCCGCCGGACGGTTTTGATTTGTATCCAGTTCGGTTGTTTCTACCAAACAGATTGTTGAAACGACCATGGAAATGTTTTCCATGTGACTTTAGATTCCACAGTCAGGGTCACAGATGGGCTGACATGTCATTAAAAAACAAACGTTCCACGTGTTTCCAATGGTGGGGGGAATGCTCTAATGACCTTTTTCTATCTTTTTCTTCCTATTTCCTGGTCGGAGGCTTTTAGTTCAAACATCTTTCTTGGCCCCAAGGTACGAGATGTGGGCCGGCGGCGTCTTCAGCAGCTATTTCCCTACTATGGCGGCTTGGCAGGGAATCTTTCACCAACACCATTTGGTTGCAGCATGTCAAACTACTCAATGGCCAAGGATGTGAAATACATTGAAATTTATACCCGACTCCTGCGTTACATATTATCTGAATTTTGGTTGGTAGTTGGTCGTGAACAAACTGTTGACTATGAAAAGTGCATCGCATGCATCGAAATGTCCGGGGAAACAAAACAACACAAGAAAAGATCAACAAATTCCCTGAACCCGCTTGGCACGTTTATCTTATGGAATGAAGACCGAGTTCTGCCATGTGTTCGTGTCTCTGGGGTAGATACTGTAGATCGATCTTCACCCGGAATGGTCTGAAACCGGTCGACCACTGGCTACTCACGCGCTACGAGCAGCGCGCGAGTAGTGGTCCTTCTTGGTTTAAGCTCGTAACGACCAACTCCTGGACCCTTCGCAGAGGAAGGTACAGGGGCAGTGAACGACCCCTTTTTCAAGGTGAAGGTATATACACATCATTACACATCTTTCATCTCACAGCGTTATTTTTTTTCAGAGTAGAAAAAGGGCCCAGGTTCTTTCAGGAGAGATTCCGACATTTGCCCAAAAACGTCAGAATCTCTCTATATATCTCTATAATATACTATATTAATATGATATATGATGATCACAGCCGGAGAAGGCAGTACCACGTGAAAACGTGTCCTGCCTCTCACCTTGACTTCTTTCCAACCCTTGCTTCTTGGCTCACCTCACTTCTTTGTGCTGAGGGCCTGTGCTGGGGTGATGAAGCGGCATACAAGTACTCCTTGATCCACACCATGCACCCAGTGAAGAAGATCCTTGGACTGCATGGCTTTCCAGGTGGTACCACAACCATGTCGAATCGGCCAGAGGCTCCGGAGCCTCTGGTCCGCGCACTTTTCAACCAAGTGGGGAGTTGGGTGAGTTCCCAGCTGCCCGAAGTCGGGGCGGTGACCACTTGTGGTGACCAGAACATCCACTCACTGGATGGGACCCTGGGAACCATCCATGTTCTTTCGGCCCGAGCCGGGACTCGAAGGGTCCGAAAGACGTATTTGGTCCTCTTCTCTTGCAGGGATTGACCTAACCTTTTGCAGAATTCCCCCTCCAAAGAGGCTTGGCTGACTCTTTGTGGGGATTCTCCCCATCGGCGCTGCCAACGACGACGACCACCGTATGTTTCACGCCGCCTTTCGTTCGACGCCACCGTGCAACGACGGTCGTGGGATCTGTTGGGATCTCTGCCACCAGTAGGGCCGCCGTGCCACCATGTAGACGTTGGATCGGCAGGCGCCAAGCCAGCCAGGGCCGCGATTCACGTCTCAGACGTGCTCAGGTTCTTTGAATATTGCAAGGCTGACTGGGAGCGCTACGAGAAGATGTTCAGGACGAATTGCAAGGGCTGCGCAGCTTGGCTGTGCCGGTTGGCTGTGCCGGTGTTGCTTCGTCTATGATGGAAGATCAAACAAAGGATTGCTTTCAGCAACTTCAAGACCCCTCAGAACAAACTTTCCTCTGCATGACAAAACTGATTTTCAGGATTCCTTGCTCTCTACAACGCTGCCTTCGGATCTGAATATTGATTTGCTTGCCCAAGCCAATTGATGGCCTTCATCCCGAATTGCACGTTGTGGACTTCGGTCTCGGCTTGTTTGCCGAACGTTTGATCGTCCAACGGTCCGCACGGAACGAACCGGGTCATGGCACGAGCCAAAGAAGTCCACGAGGGGAATGACCAGTCCACCCGGTAGGGAGGTCAGCCAAGGGTATCCCGGTGCCATGACCCACAGCCATGTGGGTTGCCATGTATTTGTGGTATTTTGGGGTTTGGTTCAGACGAGCAGACGAGCATGTCGTGTTGTTGTGTGATCGGGTGTTTCAAAGGGGATGATCTTGAAAAGCACATCATTTGCACGAGTGAACTTTTCGATTAATTGGGGATTTGGGCAAAAAACCCAGGTTAATATATATATATATATATATCAAATTGAAACTAAGCTTGGTTTGGTTGTTAGTTCCTGTCACCGGTGTACAAACCCTTTCTGTACCCACCTTACGATGTTTAGGGGCAGGATTTCGGGGTGCGGACATGTCGACATGTCCGCGCATGCGCGGGGAGACCCCAAAACCATGGTTGACACTTGAATTCCTTGTAGTCCATTCTGTTGATTTAGGTGTGTCCGTCGGGGCTTGACCCGCCGGGCTCAGGGCTTTTGAATTGGACATTCTGCCACTGAAGTGGCACAGCATCCGACGGTTGTTCTCTCCTGTGCTTGGCCATGGGGCCGTTTGCGAGGTTCGAGGCTTTCATTTAACATCTCCGAAGCTTATCAAGTGACCTCAAGTAGACAGGAAAGCTTAGAAGTCATCAAACAATGGAATTGAATGAAAAAGGCCACCGGCACCAGACCTCCTCGACTTCCACGAGAGCGGCTCTTCCGTGTGAGGCAGACAAGCCACAGGTGCCATATCCTTATACCATGGACATGGTCGAGTCCTGGTTCAAGGACCCCCCAAACAATTGCGAGTGAAACGCAAGCGAAACGCGAGGGAAACGCCTCACCAATGGCCTCGGTCACTCCACAGAAGACCGGTCGAGTGTGGCGTTTTGGTGCACCGTGATACCGTGATACCGTGGGACTCCAGCTGGCCAAAGAACAGTTCGACCCTAACCTGTAGGTGGGTAGTCTTTCCTGAGCTGCTTCTGTCTCATCTTTTATCTCACGCTCACATCTGAGGGAACAGAAAACCTCTTGTGATCCTGCCCTACTTCATCATCTCACCTGATCCAACGCTCTTTCCGAAGCCACATGGTCACCGTTTTGGGTAGCACCCCAGGGCTGCAGCTTGGGATCCCAATCCGCTTGAATTATATACTTGTTGTTACTTGTTAATTTGTTACTAAGTACTTCTTTCAAGGGCTATCAGAGATGTTCAACTATTTTTAGCCTTTGGGAAGCACCAGGTCCCGCACCCGCTGGCAGGAGTGGTCTCTCTGGATTCACCTCGTCCACCTCCGTCCCCCCCGTTCCCAGGTGGCGACCCACCAGGTCCTCCGCCGGAGTACGCCCGCCCGTGCGCCGGCTGCGATGTCGCAGGAGTACGACGAGTCCCTCAACCTGCACACGTCGCCGGAAGGTCCGGATGATGACTTCAAGAGGAGGGAGTCATTTGGAGTCCGGTGGACTCACTGAACGAAAAAAGGGCAAAGAGTCCCAGTGGACCCGGTCCCGGACCGGGTGTGGTGCGTTCGATGGTTCGATGCGTGAGGATTGATGGTGTTCAACTCCCCCTGGGTTTGAGTTTGGAGCCACAGGTGAAGAAGATGCGAAGATCGTCGTGGGCAGTTCCCGGCCACCAAGAACAACTGCTCTTTCCGGGTATCCCTTGGCTCTGCTCTTTCCCGCGCAAACCCGGCGAACCGGCTGACACTGACGGTTCCGGTCAAATATCGATCTGCCAGGTATGGTTCTTTCGAAGAACCAGTTATGGGCGTTGTGGGTCCGGAACTGCACCCCGACCGATGTTTTCGCAGTCGAGGGTTTTGGTGCCACGCGAGAACTCGGACCTGTCGGACCCGACGGTTTGGTGCCCATTGGATGCTCAACATGTCGGACACTGAAGGGCCAGCTTCCATTGATGTTCCTTTTGCCAATGGGTTTGGATTGGATCCACACCCGGTCAAGACCAGCCTTGTTGATGGTGGATCATGTAGAATGGACACGAGGGGAGTTAGTTTAACGCCCCGCACCCTGACCGTTCTTCGTATGCGTCAGATAATCATTTCGGACGATTTCCACAAACCTCCTGGAAAGGACCAGGTTAATCTTTTTTGGTTCAACGTATATCTTTTTTGGAATCAGTTGTTTCTATTTCTATGACTCATGGTACAGTGCAGTATTGTGCTCCTTGCATCCAAGCTGTCTCCTCATTATTTCAGCACGAGCATTCCTTTCCGCTCTACTTTTTTTTCCGATCATTTCATGTATGAATGCGCAGTTTGCCTGAGCATGCCCAAGCCGATCAGGAAGGATTGATTGGGCACACAACGGTTAAGTGGACAGCTCATGATACAACCAGATGCGTTCTGATTGATCGCACCCTCGTGTCCCACACGACCTTTCAAAGGTGGGAATGGCGGACTCATGTTGCGGACGATCAGTTCCTTGACTCGTCCGTTGGTCCGCTGGTTTGGGTTTGACTTACTGTATTGCATGGCTACTTAGTCGGCTACTCAACACATCTCAACACGCGACGCTACACATTTGTCGCGTTCCCGGCGCTTTGTTGAGCGACGGCGGTTTGGTTGAACCGAGCACCACAACGTGTTTTTTCTTTTGACAGGAGCACCATTGAGATCTACAAGAAGAGCAGCGAGCGAATTCAGCAAGACCTCGTTCCGCCTTTGGTGAAGGACGGGTGGCGATGGGCGATGGGCGATGGGCGATCCCAAAGGAATAGTTCCTTGCACTGGTGACTTCCCTTTATACGAAGTTAGGGCTAAGTCTGAGAGAGTTTTCAGACGTATGGACCTGAAACGAACTGATGAAAAGAGAACAGAGTCATCAATGTACTGCGATTGGTTAAGTCATTTGGTAGAACGGAAGTCCTGTACCAAGGCGTTTTGAAGAAGGCAGTCAAAATTATTCTTCAGCGGTGATCACGAAAGCTAGCACCAGCTAGCTGGAGTTGTTCTTGCTTTAGCAAGTGAGGGGCTGGAATCCTCGAGAGTTCCGCATCGAGTGAAAACTTCATATTTTGATGACCCCCTTCCACGGGGGGTTCAACTCCTCCCTGGGACGTCTCGACTCTCACCCGCTTCACCCCCGCCCTGGCTTTCGTCACCAACCCTCCTCAAGTTTGTCATGCCACTGTCACATGAATCTTGCTTGATCATGGCCTCAACTAAGGGTCAGCCATCTAATGAAAGAATCTGCCGCTTGGGTCAGTAGGTGATTTGGCTGTATCAGACTGAACTCGACTCGTTTGGTGCTTGTCGCAAAAGGCCACACGACAGAACCGTGGAATTCCCGGTCCATCCCTCCGGTTTATTTGAGGGATTTGAGGGATCGGGATTTGGCGTGTTATTCGTTCATGCTTTGATACTTCTGCAAGCTTGGAAGTGGAATGGGGTTCATGCTTTGTTTGGTATGCTTTGTAATGGTCTTCCCCATTGGAGCTTCTCATGCTGGATGCATGAAAGAGACTTGCCAACCGTAGCGATAGCGCAAATAGGCGCCGGCACACTAGCCGGGCAAACCTTGATCCATGAACCCCGAGATCTCAGAATAGAGACCTTGAGTTCGACCCGGTTGAAAGCATCGCCTTTCTCCAGTGGTTGGAAGTTGGAAGGCCTCCAAGATGGTCGTAATGTTGACTGCACCCCCGCTGCAGCGAAACACACTCTGGGGGGGGCGAACAGGTCACCGTCAACATGACACACAAAAATCAAACGTGGAAGTGGAACGAAGTGGACAATCGCCAGGTCCGGCCGCCACGGGGAAGGTGTGAGCGGCCACCAGTCCGCGCGTCTTTTTGTAGAGGACAGGAAACGGGGGGGTTTTGGTTCCCTCACGGCCCACGCCTTCTCCACGCGTTCTCCGTTGAACGGCACGGCCAGTCGCAGAACTGGCCTTCAGGAGGTGGGATTGTTGAAGGGCATCAAGCAGGGTGATGACCCAGCCGCCTGGAGCGAACCTTTCGGTCCGGTGCATCGTTGCTTGCGCCACCGGACCCCAGGGAGGCCGGCGTGGATGCTGCGAAAGAAGCTCCGCAAAGGAGGAGGAGGAGGAGGAGGAGTCATGAAATGCTGCTAAAAGAAGAAGCGTATGATCTAAACACTTGCTTGTTGTGGCTTTTTGTATGGACGTTAACCTAACCCTTGACGGCCCCTTGGTAGGGGTTGGAGGACACTTCCCCACAGAAGGTGAAAGGAACTGTCACCATGGCACATCTCCTGAGATGAAGGCAGGTGAGTCAAGCCATGTCAAGCCCTTCTCACGCCCTCCAAATCTTTCGACTGAGGTCATGAGCATTTGGGTCAACAAGATCTACGAGGCGAAGAAGGGCTTGACACCTTCTGATCCCGAGACCGCCGCCAATTTTGATGACAAGCAATTGGAAGCCTGGAAGGCCCGCGGTTTTTTGTGCGCGCCAGGCGTGAGCGTCCGCACCGTGGTTGGGTGAGACTTCTGTGAGCTTGACAAGAAAGTCTCGATGTTGAACTCCAGTCAGAGATGAAGAACCATTTTGGTGAAAGAGTTGCTTTCAAAGGACCTTCTGCTGCTAGACAGACCATGTCTAGAAGACAGACCTTTCTCGAGGAACTCGTTCTTTCGTCGACCTTCTGCGGAAACCATCGAGTTGATGAGTTTGAATCAGAAACGATCTTTGGGTCGAAACAGGTCTGTGCAGGCTCTGTGCAAGTTCTCCCCCTGAACTCTGCAGGATTTGGTCTGTGATGGCTACAACTTCAAGGCAGAGTCCGTGGGGACTGCCTCCGCCACGGCGCCTCGGGTGGCAAACCCTGCCTCCGCCCGTCGTTTACAGACCGGACCGAAGACCACATGGAACCATGGCAACATACCCCGCAAAAGCAAAGCCTTTAGGTCAATCCCGGCCTTTTTGGGAGGAACGTCTTCATTCGAGCAGAAGGTATTGTGTCATGGAGGTGTGGCTCAAATCATGGGATTTGGATGGATTTGGGGCTTGCATCTGCCTTGGGGGGTTTGGAGGACGGCCAGTCCTAAAATAAGCATGAGAGTGGACCATGTGGTTCATAAAACACAAAACAACGCTGGCCATGAATTTGGGTCAAACATGGTCAAACATCTCGAAGTCTCTTACTCTTTCATGTATTTTTTTCAACAACCAGGTCTATGAGTCCACCCGGAGGGAACTTCCAGGTGCGACCTGCAGGTCGTTGCGTTCGACTCACGTCAAGTGCAGTCGACTCCAGTCATGCTGACTTGCCATGCCTCATGGCTTGTGGCCTGCACCCATCGGAAAAGGCATCGGAAGACGTTTGAAACCTAGGGCCAAAGGCCAAAGCTGGGGGACCGCGCCAGGCCAAGATGATGCCGCGTATGCTGTAGAGCACTGCTTTGATGAAGCGTATGTTGTAGGTCTGTGCAGTCTTGCCTGAACACTTGTTGAAGAATGCGCGCTTTCTGGGAGTTGTAGCGGCTTTTTTGAGTTTTTAGCGGCTTTTGGGAGTTGATAGCGGCTTTTGGGAGTTTGTAGCACTTTTTATTGCTACTGATGAGGCTTCAGGTGTACTTCAAGAACCCTAAAGTTTACGCTTCTTACTCTGTTCCAACATGACACTTGCGGTCTACAGCAGATCGGATTGACGCGTCCATTTTGCCTGGCAGGTACAGCATGGTCAGATTTCCACACCCGTTTAAATTTACAACTTATAAGGCTTTCAGGTGTGGAAATCTGACCGCAACTTAGGTGTCGACATGTTGCACGTAGGATTCTAAGGGGAAAGGGTTTGTCCTGTTTTAGAAGTTAAGAAGCGCAACTTTCGGCACCCCAGTGTATACCTACAAAAAACATATTAATGTACATACATAACATATATATATATATAACTAATTTATAGATATAAAGAGCAACACTGGCAATACATATATATATATACACACAACTACACTAATTACAAATGTCGGAACTACAGCATTGAGAAGAACAATTTGGAAAAAGACCATTTCCCAATTTTTGCTTTCCCATGTTGAAATTCCCCGCGATCTCATACGATCTCGGCTATTTCTTTTGCATCTTTGCACCTTTTGCGATCCGCGCTGAGGCACTGACCGATGGGGGCTCTTGGGGCAAGATTGTGCCCTTCCTGATGTCCAAGAAGCCTCAGTGAGTTTGACGTCCCGGCCTCGGTGGACGACGCAGTCTGCGACGCCCGAGGTGACGATGGAACGACCGTTTCGGGTTGGAGGAAACCGGGTGGAGGATGTTCAGGTTCCGAAATTTCACACATGAGAAGCTTTTCTTGCATGCTGGGATTTCTTTCCAGTTCAGTTTCGGTGCCAAGAAAGACTCAAACCTAGAGATTTGCTCCAATCTATCGAACAGAGACGTGGATGTAGCCCACGACCTTCGCGGGAGCCCATGCCTTCCGATCCCTTTTGTTGGCCACAGCGGGCGCCAGTGGGACACAGGTGACATGAGGGGATAGTAGTCCAGACCGTATCATGTTCTGGACAAAGTAACCAAAGATGGGTTGCACATCTGCTTCAAGCCTTTTGACATATTTTGACGTGCATCCAATTCAGATAGTATTGCAATGTCAAGAAGGAGGAAGTGCTCTCTGTGTCCCGTCACCATGAATGGTGCTGGATAGCTTGGCTGTAAAGCCCTACCCTTCCAGCTCCCTTTCTCAGAGGTAACCGGGGTGTGATTTTAGCAAATAGTATAATCTAGAGTTCCTGTTTTTGGAGGGTAGTTACATTAGTTACCTTCTGTAGAGGTAACTGGAAGGCTAGGGTAAGATAATAGCGGGTGTGTGTCCTCTCTTGACGGGGGGAACAGCCATAGATGGTGGCTATAGGCTTTTAACCAAATCCGGGCATGGCGTATCTTCCAGCGCTGGTGCAAAAGACCCGGCATCGACGACGACGCGTCTTTCGACGACGCGTTCGGATGGATTCGAGTTCGAAGAGCGAAGCCTTGCACACCCACGTTCCCCCCTCAAGTGGTACAGATATGGAGATGGACCGGGTGCCCAAGAGGTGGATTGGATGGCAAAGGAGGGGTGGTTGGATTGTTTGTTGGTACAGTCCTGTCGGAGCAGATAGAACAAAGAGACATCTCAACGTAGTTTCAAGTTTTTTTTTGCAATTTTCTTCCCTTCTCGCCTTTTTGATGAAGAAAGCATGCCGTGTATCTTGTGGATCATACGATTTACGGTGGGACATGAGGGCTGCGCTCACCCATCTCTGGATTGGATAAATCCTGCACAAAAATCGGCTTTCACCTGTGATTAGCCCAGGTTCCAGGACCATCGTAGCCAGGGTTTCCACTCAGTGATGGTCATCAGGGTAGCTTTTAAGGATATCCAAAAATATGTTGACATACCATGACATACTGGGCATTTGCGAGCAAATCGCACTGCTACCACCGGGAACTCGTCACTTCCTGTTGTTCAAATCGATACCACGCGGCATGATTTCTTGAAACAGGAGGGCCCAAAAGGTTCCCCTTGTCCCAGGGTACATGAATAGATGTCAGCAAACGAGTTGAGCTTAACAATCACGATGTAATTCTTGAACATAGATATCCTTCAACATTCATGCAGATTCATGCAGCTACGTTACGCAACTCGCTCCACTGCTGTGCCCTGTGTCCAAAAGGCTGCACTGTGCAATTAGTGCCAAGTCAGCTAAGTCAAGGCAAGAAGGCAGAAGCACCGGGTCATGACAATATACATCAATATACCAGACAAGACAAAACCATTTGGAGGACTCTGGCAGATATGGACTGGCCGTGTTCGCTGATGAACTTGTTGACCTCATGATTTCCAGACACCAGCAAAGAAACCTTCAGCAGGTCAATCGATCAGGTCAATCGATGGAAGTAATCGACTTTCAAGTTGAGTAAGCCAGAGTCAAGGAGAGGCATTCGGATCGACATACATGGACACAGACTTGTTGCCCAAGCTTCATGGCAGAGAGATTTTGACACGTTTTTTCCACCTCCCAACTGGTCGGAATCTCTCGACTTCGGCCACAGCCACGGGCGCCCCGAGAAAAACGTGCAGGCCGTGCTCGCCTTTTTGAGAGTTGAAGCAGCCACAAGGCTTTCGCCCTTTTCTCTGAAAGTAGCAAAAAACCCGTTTCATCGAAACCCTCGACCTCTTCGAAGAACCACAACGTTTTCGAGAAAAATCAACGCTTTGGATGGCGCCCATGAGCGATGTGAAGTACAAGACGCGCCTCTTTTGAAGCACGATGGGCTGGGGAAAATCATGCCTGTGTTGATGCCGAGGAGATGTTCTTACGAATTCAGAGATCCCAACAGTTTCCTTGAGGGGATTCTCCGGAATAGTTTATTAATTCATATTAATTCACATTCAGAGTGGAAAGGAAGAGTTTGCCTCAAGTCTGTATCAGAGGCTCGCGAGGAATCTTTGAAGAACATAAATGTGCTTCTTGCACAATCATTGCTGAAAGTCTACAAGCACCGACGCTTCAATGGATTCAAAATGGCTGAGAGAGAGAGAGAGAGAGAGGGGGTGCACTTGTGTATGGATGGTGTGGAGTTCCAGTTCCTTTGCTTCCCTGTAGTCTTCATAATCTTGGAGCCTTCATCGGTGTTACTACGAAAAACTCACAGGACTGCAGGGAAGGGATCTCCCCAACCTCCAGTTCAGTGCTGCCTGCCTCATCACCCAAGCACCACTGAAAACAAGCAACACGTCCCTTGAGCCCTAGAGGTTACATCTACACAACACGTTCTGCTTCTTGTCCACCCGTCTTGTGGGTGGACATCCGACCCCAATGCAATCCGACACATCCACCGAGCTAGCGGGACCGACCCCATCCGACCCGTTTGTTGCTGAGGATTCAGCTGGATCTCCGGGAGGGCGTTTGCACGGCGACGATGGATGCGGGAGATCAAGGCCAAGTGAATCTGATGACCGGGACGCTCGGCGGGAAAACAGACCCAGACTGGGTCCGCCAGTGGGGCATTCAGGATCTCAGATCTTGTTCAGGATTGGGTCCTTTTTTTACATCCCTCCAACAATCATGGAAGCTGACCACGACACCTAGGAATCTTACAGAAATCTTATATAATCTTATAGAATAACCTATAGAGGAAACTTTTTTTTTTTTTTTCAGGGGTCCACGTTCCACGTCCATGTTTGTTTCAGGGATTCAGGGAGTGTATCTTATCAATATTATTTTCCTGACCAATTACTATGTCTGCAAAGAGCTGCCCTAGGAAGCTCTTCAAAGAGTTTGGCGACATGGTGAAGCGCGTGGCGCGCGATGACCAGATCCGCGTGCTGGTGGTGAAATCGGCCAACGAGCCTCGGCCGTTTTTTTTCTTTTTTTCGGAAGAGCAATTGACCCATGTCAATGGCACCACCCGTCTGTATACTGAAATATGTTTACTTTGGGTCTGTCCTATTACCTGTAACAGGCACTAAACAGTTATCACTTTTTTGAACAAGGCCTGCAAACTAACCATCATCATCCACTGGGCCCTTGTATTAGGATAGACCCAATGTTTACTTTCAAGAGTATTTATATATTTATATTTCTCGACATATGGCTCATTGAAGGCAGACATTTTGCATAATAATATGATCACATCGTTTCATATGTCACCTCATCCGTCCGTCGATTTCATCTCTTTTGGGCGCCCCACGTCGAATCCGGTCGCCGAGTTCCGTCGGTCCGCGACGGAAGAAGTGTCGTCGTGGGCGGCCGCCGCCGACGTTTCCGGAGGATGGTCTGAGCGTAAAGAAGGGATGGTCCGAGTGGCTTCAGAGTAGATTCTAGGGCACCCAGTTACTCCGTGGTAAAAGTAGATGGCCCTGATTTCTGAATTGAGCCATCTACCTAGGCGTGTCATTTTGAGGGGGGTTCCAAATCTGTTGATGGCACAGCTATAACAATGCGCCATCTACATAGATAGTGACCCTCACTGCCATCAAAGGAGATTAGTCTGCAATTATGTTTTTTGCACGTTCAATTTTTTTTCGGGTGTTACGCCTTATTCTGCAAAAAATTGATGATAAAATAGATGGCTCCTTAAGCCCGTTGGAGCCATAAATGCTGTATTGCAACCCTTGATTGTGCCCCACCATCTTTGCCCATGAGCAGCGTTCAAGGTCAAGCTTGTGGAATGGGGCTTGTTCAAGTTCAAGCTTGTTCTAATCAAATATGCCTTTAATGAGCGCATCACAGAACTACACAGTATTCAATGTCGCTACATTGTCGGCACAATATGTGAATATTGTACACGTTTCTTTGGGCATAGGCTGAACTGCAATGTCTGGATTTCAATCCTTGATTGTGCTTTGCGCCATCTACTTCTACATATATTCCATAATCTCCCCAACAACCTGCTTTGCGCCATCTACTTCTCATAGGGACCATTGAAATACAGGACCAGGGGAAGGCAAAGGATAAGCGAAAGAAAGGAAACCACAGGATAGGAAAAGAAAGGGAAAGGGCATGAAAGGAGAGGGAATGAAGACATTTAGGAAAGAAAAGAAAATGAGAGGAGAAGGTAAGGAGAGTAGAGGAGAGGTTGCGCCATCTACTTCTCACAGGAACCCCTGAAATACAGGACCCGGGGAAGGTCAAGCAGAACTGAATGAAAAGAAACACCAGGAAAGGAAAGCAAAGGGCAAGGGCATGAAAGGAGAGAGACCGGTTAGTAACGGTTAGACTATCTAATTGCTCAACCATCATTACTGTAACCATTACGGTACTGTATCACCTTTCACTCCAGGATTGCGCCATCTATTAATGTGCACCGTTCTTACAATAGGTCAATGGAGATTGAAGTGCAAGTGCAGCGAAAGGGAAGGGAAAGGCAAGGTCAACAAACCAAGGGCGAGGAAAGGAAACAAATAAAGGGAGACGACAGGAAAGAGAAAGAAACAACAGGAAAGAAAGCAAAGGGGAGGAAAGGTAAAGGAGAAGTGCAGGAAAGGAAGCAAAAGGATAACGATCAGACACAGAAGGTCAAAGGACATGAGAGGAGAGGGAAAGGAGACAGAGGGATAAAAGACGATAAGGTATGTAGAGTTGCGCCATCTATTCTGACAGGAACCACTGAAATAAGGCGTGATAACCAGAAAAAGGCGTGGCATCATCGCCTAAAATTGGTCTGCTCCCCCTAACCTGGGCGTGTCTCCGAAGGGCCCTGTCGGTGCCATCTACTCGCCCTTTTCTGTTTCGCGCCGTGCCATCTACTTTGGCCCCGGTGTAAAGATGTTTGACATAGCCACAGGGGTCATTTGTTCCATCTAGATTTGGCAATGACAAGAACAAGCTCTGGAGATCGGGGTAGTTGCCTTTTTGACATACGAGAATAGCGGGAAAAGTCACTGGTTGGTCACGGTCGTGGCTGGTCACGGGTCACTTCTTGTGGTGACCTCGTGAAGCTCCAGAAGTACTGTGGCTGGACAGACGACGTAAGCATGGCTTGTTCCGAGACAGCTGTGAAACATTCACTACCCAAATCTTCCATGTATGCAACTATGGCCTACATTCACCACCAAAAACCACCAAATGTAGGCCATGTTTGCATACATGGAGCGTCTGGGCTATAAAAGATACTATAATATGATAGGCCAATGATATAGTCTGATCGGTCACCGCGATTTGTTTTCGCCGTTTTGAAGTCACCGTGATCGACAGTAAAGAGATGTCCTTGTACTGATTCTCGAAATTGCTTGAGTGATAGGAACCTCGGACGCAAGTGGAATGAACAAATCCCTCGTCAAAGTCGGAAGGTGGACACAGCTTCGTGTGGTTAACCCATCTTGAAACAGGACGAATCCAAGTTCATGCTTAGGAGCATTTCTGGTTGGCGCATTTGGACGTGAACGCCATTCTGAATGAGCCAAACCCACCACACGAACGAGGAGAGGTGCTGCCCCTTGGCAGCTTTCGATCTGTTGGAAGGTCGTTTTGGATGAGGGATTTTTTTGAAATGGCACAGCTTTTGGATCCCGTTAGGATCATTTTCTAAGACAGACACATGACCAGAAAGGCTGCAATTCAGTCATTGGCCCACATGGTGGGTCCCTTTTTGGCGGTTACTTCGGCAAGTAGACCTTTCTACGGATGGGTCGACACAGTCGTTTTGGGGGATTGAACAGGGTGGAAAATGCCAGGAGCTTTTCTTATAGGGCATCCCCCCCCGGAGTTTCTTCCCCCCACCCATGCCGAAATATGCCTGAATGTGCGCAAGAAGCTAGACTATGGACCCAGAATGGCAAGGACACATCCCCATCTCCACCACATATTTTATATTCTGATCCATCTTCTTTTCTTCTTTTGCTCGTGATCCTGGTGACGTGGTTTTGGACGTTGGACAGTGGCCGTCGGACCCAGGAATGAGTGGCATTCCAACATGGAGATTCTCCGGAACATGCCCAAGGCACGTCCGGGGCCCGGTGAACCCGAGGGTGTCCGACCCGTGCACCATGGAGCGAGGTTGGACTGACACCAGGGAGGGAAACCCAAGGTCTCCGAGCTTGGACCCAAAGCCATTTCAGACATTCATTCATTTGAGGTTCCTTTTGGGACTTGGGCCTTCTGAATTCGTTGCACTCAACGAAGTTGCACTCGAAACAGTACAACGTGAGCACGATGTTTTGTGAGGCCCTTTCTATTTGGATTTCACGGACAAACCCCCACGTCCTTCTCAGAACCGAGCGCCCCTCAATGGGACCACGCTGACGACCTGTGATCTAGTAGAAGATCCTTGAGGTACTCCTGTTAGCGCTCAAAAACCGGGTCTTGGTGACCCTTGAAGTGTTTGGTCAATCGAGTTGTCAATATTGGTGACCCTTTAGAAGCAGCTGGAAGACCATGGTGACCCTTTTGCTCCTGTCCGAAAGGCACCTCCTCATGTGAGACGTAGATTTTCTCGTTTGAGGCCACCATTGCTGTGCTGGCTGGCCGGGTAGGTGGAGGAGGCCATGAGTTCGCCTTGAGCCTTGACGACCTACTGGGCCAGACCTTTTTGCACGTCGGTGGGTGGGACTGCCAGTCGATGGGAGCATGTTGGCAACAGTGATGAGTAGGGAGTTAAAAATGGAGCAGGTCAACAAGCCAATTTCCATTCCGGTTTCGCTTTTTGGTCTCCCTTCCCTGTTGCACGTTTTTTGCGCTGCTACCACACAGTTGTGGGAACAGGTTGCCGCCGTGCTAAAGCAGCTCTGTGTGTCTTGAGCCCATTGGTTAGATGGGAGTTCTCGGCGTAATTGTTTGCACTTTCTCTATTGAATTCGATGGCACCGTTCGCTTGGACCTGCCTGGCGTAATTTGTTGAAGCTGACATGAGTCAATGAGCCTCCAGATTCGTCCATTCCTCCAGGCTAGGCATCCGAGGCATGAGCCTCATGAGCCCTGTTTTTTTTCCCCGAATTCATCATGCCCAGAAACTGGACTTTCCTTGGACGTTTGCGACATGTCGCAAGCATGTATTGGCCAAGCTCCACAGAGACGCCTGTTTTCCTTTTCAAGAGAACCACCTCGCTTTTCTTTGCCTGAATCAGATTGGCATGAAATTCACAAGATTATCCTAGATGCATAGAGTTCCACGTTCTTGGGTCCAACTTCTCCTGCGCCTTCTCAACCTTTTTTCCGAGGGTGTGTTTAATGAAGGGTTGGCATTACATAATACAGTACTCCGTGACCGTGGGTATTGTTAGCTGGCGCCAATTGTACAGACAGTGACAGTCAGTGAATACTTGGAACGTCCGTCTTCTCAAGTAGCTGTCAGTCTTCTCAAGTTTCACAGCGAAAAACATGGAGTTTGTATGAGTTTGTAGACTTCTTCCTCTTGAGGAACTTTGACATGAGATTTGGCCTCTATGACAAAACCAAGATTTGCTCCTTGGCCTTCCTGCGCGGCTTCGCGTTCCATCGCGTGCCCATCGGCTGTTCCGGAGAAGAGAGTTCTTGGCTTTTCGCCGAGTTCTGCGCGGGGGTCATCAGAGAAAGACGGGGGTCATCAGCTCGTTACACTGCCTTGATCGGCCCGGGGAAGGACGCGAAATAGGTTTTTCTTCTGTGTATAGTGTATACTGTATGAAAGAACCAAACTGATGGTGAATCCTTCGAAGGGCAATAGTCCAAAAGCACCTCAACTTGTGATGAACGTCTTGGTTCGACGCTGATATGGCGGTTTGGATGGACTCCAGGGCCTGACGTCAGCCTTCTTTGCCGGACGGAGAAGCTTTGCCGTAAGCACCTGGACACAGGTGTGCTACTGTGAACGGCAGCTGAGATGAGTAGTATCCAACTACATGACCAATTCTTTCAGCGTCAAACCGAGTCAAACCTATCCAATCGCCAGGGCGTTATACGACATTATACGCTAGCACGGATGTCACAGCATTGCCCAAAAAGGGGCTTCAGGTCGAAAGATGCTGTTGACCAGTTCTTGACTGCCAGACTGCTAGAGGGGGACCCTCAGAATCCATTCGGGCACCATCCACTAAGACTGATTAAGCAGGTTCGGTCCATCAACACTCGGAGTGACACATTGTCCAATCTTTGGCCTTTCAGTTGAGCCTCAGACCCATCAGACCCCAGACTGCCTTACAACAATCATCAACAATCATTCGGATAGACCTGGAAGGATCTACCATGGTGACTCCAAGCCCTCAGCCTCTTTCACTTGACCTCGCGCGAGGTCAAATGGAAGTTCCTCTGGGCATCATCCCCGGCGGCGGCGCGTGTGTGAATTTGCGGCGGCTTTTGGGCGCCGGGAGAGCCATGGAGGCGCCCCAGCCGGGCGGTGGACCACGGTAGCCGCCCCGTCAAGGACTCGAAGAGGACGAAGACCCAGATTTCGTGTTCTCTTCCAGGAGATAGTAGACTGATAGTTAGATATGCTGGATCAGTGAAAGTAGCTAAGTAGATGAATTACTGAGTTGCTTGCCAGCTGTAAGGTATCAGCGAAAAGAATCGCAGCGTCGAGAAAGAGGCCTGGTGTCTCTTCGTTGTGAAACATGCTCCAGTCATCTCGGCCCCTTCGAAAAAGCAGGACCATTTTGAGGCTCTAGGGATCTCTAGGGTGAAATGGCTGTTTGCCAGCCAGAACCTTTTTCATCCACCATTGGATGGGCGTTGGACGAACCCACTGATCCACCTCGAGAGTGTGCATGATATTGCGTGAAGATCACCGTATGCCCATGCTCTTGGCGTCCATTCATGAGGACCCTCACCGTTGTATACGCATTTCCCTTCAAGAACTGCTCCTTTGATTTGGCTCATTGTATGAATGTGTTGACTTCATTTCAGGTACCCAGTGTGGAGTCACTGCACTAGAAGGTTAGGCGGATTCCCCTGTCTTGCTTCAGACCCAGCTCCTTCCGGAGGTCATTTTGTCTGGAGATGACATTGAAGCAGAGCAAGCCGAGCGATGGGGCTTCTTGCCAGTGATGGGGTCAGAAACGTAGACTTCCAGACTCGATCCCATGAACTCCGTATGACATGACATGGGCTATCCGTAGGACATGGTGGAAGGCATGTAAGGCATGTAAGATGGTTCGCTGATCCCCAGCATCTTGGCGGACTCACAACGACCAATCAGGGCACAGATTGACCTTCAAATTCCTGATTTCTGGACCTGCCAACAGACCGAAGCTTGTTCAGGATGTCCAGGCAGAACTGGGTCGTCCATGCCCAAAAGACCCTTCAGAACTATTCAGAAGGCCTTTGAAAAGATGGATCTGTTGGAAGGAGGCAACTCTCCCAAATCCCCAGCCACAACCTGCTGTATTGCCTGTCTTTTTTGTGATGGTTTTGAATGGACGCAGACGCAGACCTCTGTTCAGCCAGAAGCAACCAAAGGACATCATCAAAGGACCAGCATCAAAAGACCAACCCCTGTCCAACAACTTTCGAAAGATAATCAAACAACGAGCATACATATTCATATATTTCTGAAATGTGTTTTGGTATAGTGTTTTGTTATGTCTTGACCCTTGGCAACATGACATCTTTGACCACCAGTTCCTCACTTCCAGGCTTGCTGAATCGCTGCTTCAAGGATCGTGAGCAGCTGGAGGTCCCTTGGCTGGCGCAAAGCCTCAAGCAAAACACACGTGGCTGAATCGAATGAGTTGGTGAGCAGCATTTCAAATCCTTACCATTCGAGATCGTTTGGAAAATGGTGGACCCCATTAAAACCCATTAAAACAAGCGTCAACAAACCCAACATGAGTTGACCAACTGGTTCCGCTTCGCCCGACCGAGCCAGACCGAGCCGTTTGTGGCGTGGAGATGGGACCCGCTAGCGCTGGTTCGGGGCAGCCATGGAAGTACTGTTATGAAGAACTGTAACATGTAACATCATATAACATATGACTATGACTGTATGACTATGTATAACCGTGACAAAGGTGGTGAGTAGTGACCCGTCTGAGAAAGATACTTTGATATAGCAAGCCCCTTTCTACCGTTTGGAGGCTCAGTTTCCCAACAGATTCCTCCAGCGCTGGAACCATCCCAGCTCCGTTAGGGTCGGACACATGTCACCAAAAGGCCAGGCCTTTTATCCACTCAGGAACCAATGATTTACAATGATTTACCTGGTCTATGAGTCGAAGGAAGACTAAGGAAGACAAGAAACAAAAGGACAACTGTCTGAGGGTCTACAGAACAAAAAGTAAAACAATCACTATGGTGTTTGTCTGTTTGCCTTTTTGTCCATCCCCGACCCCTCCACTCCGACTTCAACGCCCAGGCGCACGTGGCGCGCTTGGCGCAGCGCCTGGCGCAGTGGCCCAGCGAGGCCGTGCGCTGCGCCAAGGCGTCGGTCCTGGCGGCCGAGCGAATGCCTCACACCGAGGACGGAGTGATCGGTCCGGGGGCGGCCGAGGAGGGAGTGATCGGTTCCGGGGAGCGGATCGGTCCGGGGGGGTGATGGAGATAGGATGGATAGAAGGTGATAGAAGACTTCACTTCTCGATCTTAGAGTTTTTTTTGATGCGCAACAGCTGGTGAGGAGGGTGTTTGTATGTGTTAACGTTCAACTTTTCCTTTAGGATAGCTTGAACCTAGACCCCTAACTAGGCGATGTTTCGCCTCGTCAGCCAGGTCCCTGGGATCCCATTACAGCGTTGCTTGTTTGGCCGAAATGCTTTACTTTCAGGATGTGGTTTGCGGTTGGTTTTTGCAGTCCGAGCGGTTCGCAGAAGTCTGTCTTGTGGGCTTCTGACCGCAAATGCTATTTGGAGCTATTTGGGTTTTATGGCTGTGTATAAAATTATCTGAATACATCAATAATGCTGTATTTGTTTTCGTAGGATGGAATAGGTATATATATATATACCGTATACTGATCATGTACAAGAGGCAACTGGAATGGTGGGGAAGAGAACATGAAGAAAGTCATCCTGCCCAGAATTTTCATTGGATCTTCATGGTTGCTTCAAAATGGCAGCCTTACTTAGCCCAAAGATCAGATACTACCCTGCTTCACCGGGAGTCGAATGAAGAAGACGAGGGAAGCAGCAAAACGACAAGATCGAGCCTCCACGTGCCATTTCGAAGGTCGACCAAAAAGGTGGAAACAAACACTGACTGGTGGTTTGGTACAGGCATGTACTGTACAGGCATGTACAGGGCAGTTTTCACTGCCTCCCAAGAAGAGATGGGGCCAGATCCATCATGCTCTTCAGCGGTCGCAGTCAGACGACGAGTCGGGGTGGAGACGGCGAAACCCGCGGTCCGCGTGGAGTCGGGACAAGGCGCTCAAGGAAAACCTGATGCTCTTCTACCGATCCCTTCGAGGCCCTGAGGTGCCACCGGTTTTTTCACCGTTTTCGGTTCAACGGTTGATGGGTCGGGTGGTGCTTTTGTCCAATGTGACGTAGGTTCACGGGATGTTCGACCCAGTTGGGTGGGTGGGAGCAAGAGCCATAAAAAGAGCCATCTTGATGCATGTCTCATATGTCTCCTAGATGCATTTGAAGATGGAGTTGAATCTGTCTTTGGGATCTGATTTTTCCACTTGGGTCACTTGGGTGTCCTGAAAGACTCCATACATCTGACAAAGACTTGAAACCATCAGTTGGTCTTTTTGTGAGTTCAGTTCATAGGGTTTGCCTTCTTCACCTTTCTGACTGCACTTGGCCGGTCGGGCCATATCATATACATATTTTGGCGTCCCATCCAATCCAACAGCCGACCAGACCGCCGCTTTGTTTGCGGTCGTTCACCTCGCGGCGGTCGCGCCGCTGGGACGCGCCACACGCGCAAATAAACCGCAGACCAGACCGCCAGGCGCGTGCCCGCTTGCAGCGCTTTTTGAAGGAAGGTGGTCAGAGCTGGTCTGGTGAGATGGCCTCTTGGGCTCGGTTCGAGGGTTCGAGCGACGGTTCGAAGCGCCGAAGGCAGACTTCACCAGAGACGGCGCCAGTTCGAGTTTGAGACTGTTTCAAGACTCAGAAGTGAAGTATGCCTCCATGAAGGGGGTGCTGGATCGGTGATGTCCCGGATGCATCAAGAGAAGATGTCTGTTGAATTCTGTTGATGTCTTTGTAAATCAGCCTTGGAAGGCAAGAAGTGACAGCACTCTACCTTTGCAAGAACTTCATCATCTCGTTTGCTAAAGTTGGGAACTCCTTGCAACAAAAAACTTGTCTGGAATAGATCAAGAAAAGGTGTTCTTAGGATAAGTTCAAAGGCAGTGCGTTTGGCAGTTACATGGCTTTTATGCCAACGCAACAAGGTCACTTGTTTGTTGCCAGTTGTCTGCCACAGAAGAACATCCACCAACCAACTTGGTTCCTATGTTTGGGACATTTGGCAATGCAGTTTCAGCTGGTTGATTTTCAACCACATGGAAAAAGAGTGTTTTCAGGTTTTGGTATGAATACATACTTTATAATCAAAGCGGTATTTCTGTGCAACTGGCTTAAATTTGATACTATGATTATGGCAAATGGAATATCTTAGTAGGACTTCGGTCTAACTTTGCGTCAAACCTCACACACTCAAGTACGCAGTCTTAGTGAGACCCAGAAGCTGGATGGTGATCTTTGTGTATTTGTACATCATTGCCCGAGCTTTCTCCAACCCACCTGATTGGTGTCTCGCGGTTACGAAACTCCCAAACCACAGAGTTGATGGCCGATTTTCCCAGAGCGGGACCCAGCTGAGGATTTGCAGAGCACTCTGAGCAAGTTGTAGGCCGTCGTCCTTTGGGCAGACCGATCGTTGTCCTGCAGACGATAGGGGTCTGACGCGAAGGGGTCGCGCTGAAACTGATTTGGAGAAGGAAGTTGCTTTTGAGGCCGCAGACTAGCTATTGACATATATATAACTAGGCTTTTAGCATCTTGTAGCCTTATCCAAGTTGTTTACCAGCTCCAAAGCCAGTTCCAAACCACACTTGGCCACAAATACGCAGTTCAAGGATTCTTGACGCAGTGGTTCAGTCCAGTGCTGACTTGTTGCGGTGAAAAAAGATTTGGACGATGCTGAAGATCTCTTGAGGGTGGGTCGAAACATGCCAAACCACGGTGGATAGACATTCCCAGAAGAAAGAGAAGAGCGGTTATTCTGCCAGATTTCTGACAGTCCCAGGTCCCAGCCTATAGAAATAGTACTTTACCATACTTCACATCTTTTCGGATGCTCACTGCTGCAGTACATATGGGGCTTTGGCCGTGCTTGTTCACTTGCTTAGCACCAAACGGTATATACCTCGGCCAGGGAGGACCCCAATGGAGGTGGGCGCTTCCACGGGGTTTTCTGCCCACCAAACCGAGGGTTGATGGAGTTGGCTTCAAACACGATGTCTTCTGAGGTATTCCCCATTCCTTGATGGCTCCAAGATGCACCCCCATGTTCTTCCGGCTCCGCACCCCGGCTCCCCACCGGCTCAAGTGATGTCCCCATTACGAGGGAGGCGTTTTAATGAAGATCCAACATGAAGACGTACGCTGATGGTTGCTCATGGCAGTTGTGAATTATGACTTACGACATGGCAGTGATCTTTTGGTGTTTTCCCCAAATCGACAGAAACTATTTGCCAATACATGCCCAAACATTCTTTGCGGGGATCTACTTTTCCATCTACTTGGCAGCCTATATAATAAGCATTGTATTTCCAAGCCCAATCACCATGGCTTCCTCTACTCAACCCACCTTTTCCAGGTTTCGGGAAAGAAGCTTCTTGTCGAGTTTCAAATGCGACAAGACGACAAGATTCAAGCCAAGTCTTTGACACCAAACAACAATCGGTCTGAGTGCGGCGGTTATCAGGTGTACACTCTATGGAAATTCAGTCGGATGCAATAGAATGGGTCTCGATAGGATCGATTCATTGTTGGCGATAGAGGGGTTCAAATTATCAACGAAGACGCATGAAGACGCATGCTGTTTCGATTCCAATCTCGTTTTCTGCCTGCTAAGGCTTGGACAAGCGGATCATGTGAGCGCAGTCTTTTGTGTAGCTCATGGGTAGGAACAAAGACATGAGAAGGGAGCTCCTTGCCGATCTTCTATGAAGTGGTGTTGGACAGAAAAAAACATTGGAACACGTGTCTCCCCATTGAAATCCGAATCGGCAAAACTTGGACGGGAGGTGCCTTCGTTCTTCGTCTCACGTCTCTTCGTTCGTTGGTGTCCGTGATTGCTGGGTGGGAAGCTGCTGAAAGAATTGTTCACCGCTACGTTCGCCTGAGAAGTTGTACAGATATTTCCTCGTGTTTGTTTATTGGGCAGAAACAACGTGTCATGTTTGAAGATGTATATCGGAACGGTTTCTATTTGAATCAATCATAAAAGTATTTTTTCAATCCCTCCCCTGCAAGCCATGCATGGGTCAAACCCATCCATCCCATCGGTTCCGGTTCGCAAACCGAAAGGCTCGCCAAGGCGAAAAGGGCGAGGTGGGCGATGTCAGGGGCACACCCCCTGTTGTTAAGAACTGAACCCATGAAGGGTTGAAGAGCCCCGGTCAACTGGGCGTCCGACGCCACGGTATCAGATCTTCACTGGAAAAAGCTCCAACCCCTGGCTGTCAGAGCAGCTCCAACCCCTGGGTGGTCCACGAAACCTGTCCACAAGGCCTGTGCACTGGGGAGTTGGATCAAACACCGATCCCTGAAACTGGAGAAGCGTCTCTATCTCGCGGGTCTGGGGGTACTCTTTCAGTCACAGACATCGGCGACATGGGGTCTCAAAGTGTTTGGAAGATTCGGGATGGGGGTGATGGGGTTCTGCTACCTGCTTGCACAGGGGTCGACTTTTGGTGGGTGTCTCATTGTGTCAGTAAGTAGAACCCCTCTTATGATTCTTATGAGAATTCCCACACACACACACTCCGCATGTCAGTTGCATTTAGTGCTTCTCTTGAATTTGGAATCCGAATACAATAGACAGATTGCACAAGACGGCAGCTCGCGACATCACCAGGAAAGTGCGAGAAGCACAGGCCGCGGAGGTTGCCAATCGCGGAGCGGCTGAGCGGATTTGCCAACCGCGGGCACCAGGTGCGGACGGAGGAGGGACAGACATAGCCTTTGGGTTAGTAAGGGCTTTGTAGAATCTCGGTTTTCTTCAGGAGTTTTGGTCTCCAAACTAACTAACCCTACTAGAAAGATTTTGGCTTTGGCAACAGCTCAGCTTAATGACACCAGTCCACCAGACTGGGTACTTGCGGAAGATGTGAAAGCAACAGTCTGAAGACTCACGGGATTCGTATTCTTTCCCAGCTTTGCCTGCTGGAGAGGTGCAGCAACCTTTACCATGACCAACCTATCCGTTGGTTTAGCCTTTTGGGATGTACCTGTTGAGACCTGAACCTGTTTGGGGGATTTGACCTTAAGCTCCTTCTATTTGACGACACCGATTCTGTGCATCACCATTTCGATGGAACAAGCTGATGTAAGACAGACATGAGGAAAAACGCAT